CCAACAGCTGTTCTTTAATGACCTGTTTCTTGCTTTGCTTACTACACGGAACGTTAAACCTGCCTGCGATTAACTGAAGCTGCTGTTTGTTACAAGCATCCAACTTCCCCCGAGTTGGAACCTTAGCAAACTCCTCCAAGTCAAAATCCATTCTAACGTGAAACTCACCCGAACCAGAAATCAGGTAGACTATTTAGGCAACTCTACACTGTACACAAACAAAGCACATGCTGTCAAGGGCCATTCTACAAAAGAAAAACACCGGCACCTGCCCGAGACAGCCTTTGGACGAGCCCCCATATGTTACGACCCGTCCTCTACCAAGTGGTAGTGGCTCGTGGGAAGACCCGCAACATAAAATAAACCACACAAAACACGCAGCACTTGTCGGCGAGCATTTATTAAAGCGCACAGCCGTTACTCACATGTGCCCACCGGCAAACGAACCACGTCTGGAGGACGGCAAAAACAAACAAAAGAAGAAGGGGGCCTGGGCCAACCAGTCCTCTGGCCGTAGGACCCAGAACTTCCCTCCTCTACCCAGAGATCTATCCGAAGAAAAACTCTACTGGGGCAAAATAAAGTCACGCGAAAACCTACACTAATGAGGTCCTCCAGAGTTCACACACATAGTAACAAAAAGGAATCTACAGCTCCACACGGCATCCGAAGGTTTGTTCAGATTTGTTCAGGGAAAAGGCGGGGCCCTCTTCTCCTCCAGCTTCTCCTTTTAAAGTCCCCAGCTGAATGGCATTAGGACACCTGGGGGAGGCGGAGCCAGGGGCGGGCCAGGTGTACCTGCGCAGCAGAGAGACAAAGAAAAACAACAAGAGCACGTAACACCCCCACCATGAGTTAGTGATTTTTTTATTTTTTTTAAACGAAAACAAAACAATCACAACAATCGACTTAAGGTCGACAGACGTGCTCAACCACTCAGTCCACACACTGAACAGGTTACATATCATAAGCGCGACAATGCACCAGCCAACACATTGTCCTTGCCACGAATGTGTTTGACCTCAACATATACCTCAAAGTGGTTCAAGGCCAGAACCATAGCCTCCTTTTCGATGGTGGAACCAACGGTGGAACACACCCGCTGGTGGGGATTGAATTTCTTGGAGCGGTATGACACAGGGCGCTCCACCTCACGATCAGTTCCAACACATCTGCACGCTGCGCATCAGGCAAGTGTGCTAAATGAGACTCAATATTTACCAGAGTCTCTGCAGCGATCGGGGCCTCCGAGGTGACAGGGGTGTCACTTTCAGCACTGGACAGCGCCACCACACAGGCCGCGACAGGGTTATGAACAGCCCCGGGGCTTATCGTACCTGTTTTCCCACCCTCACGCCACGATGGAGGGTCCCTGATCGGTCTGTCCAATCCTGTAGCCGCACAACTGTCACGGGTGACTGCAACCGCATTCACCCCCGGCTTAACGAGCACTCTTCCCCCGGCTAAATCATTCCCCAAGACCAAATCTATCCCTTTAATGGGAAAACATGGCCGAACCCCGACAGCTACCGGACCGGTGACCAGATCTGACTCAAGGTGAATATTATGCAATGGCGAACCCACATACTGCATACCAAACCCCCTCACAAGAACACCCGAACCCACAGCAGACTTCTCAGAGAGGGGCAACACACCCCTCACCATAAAGGATTGTGATGCTGCTGTATCCCTCAAAATGGTCACTGGAACCCTGGTGTTCTTCCCCGGTAAAGACACCATTCCTTTCATAAGAAAGAAAAACTCTACTGGGGCAAAATAAAGTCACGCGAAAACCTACACTAATGAGGTCCTCCAGAGTTCACACACATAGTAACAAAAAGGAATCTACAGCTCCACACGGCATCCGAAGGTTTGTTCAGATTTGTTCAGGGAAAAGGCGGGGCCCTCTTCTCCTCCAGTTTCTCCTTTTAAAGTCCCCAGCTGAATGGCATTAGGACACCTGGGGGAGGCGGAGCCAGGGGCGGGCCAGGGGCGGGCCAGGTGTACCTGCGCACCACTTCAGCTTGGGACTAATTCTTCCCATAATAAAAAAAATCGAATGCATTCCATTCAGGAGAGTGCACTTTTGATTACATTTTAGCTTTAAATGGAAGAGTCTTTTAAACAGAATCATACTGTGACAGTGTGAAAGAGAAAAACAACTTTTGTGTTCAGAAGATACAAATTAAGATGGTAAAAAATGTTGCTATTAAATCCAAAGTGCTGGGAGGCATAATATCCTCAGTTAATGGCCTTTAGAAGTGAAGGGGCACCTGGAAGTTCTTTTCCTCTATCAAATCATCTTCACACTTGCAGCTGTTTGTGTAATGGAAGCTAAGACGTCACTCTGGAAGCTGTCGCACATGTGGTTTGTTACGGCTGTCTCCCACCAGGTTGTCTGTTGTTGTCTTTAAAGTTGTCTGAAAATCAACGATGGCCTCCAAAACAGTCCCAGGGGCCTCCTTTTCGGTCTGGACGTCTGCATTGTGATAGCAGGTGTAGTTCTCAGAAAGACATGTGCAATTGTACTTTATCATAAATTAAATATTACTTTCTTGGGTTTCTAGCACATTGTTTCTATATCAGTAACATTGCATTAACACAGATCTTACTTGTGGTGTTTTTTATCAAACTTTTGAAATGTCGCGGTTGAAAAAGGAAGATAGACGTGTTTTCTTTCACTAGTTCGGGGAGCGAATAAAGGTTATGCAAATCATAGTTCTGTCAGAAGTTGTCAGTATAAGCTAGACTTTACACAAAGCTGTCATCACCAAGTAAACAGAGTAGAAAAGATTGAGGTTACGAACTAGCAAACAGACAAGTGGAAGTGGCTAAATATGAGAAAAGTCTTCATGTCTTCATTTATTTAATTATGGCTATGTTTTATGTGGTATAAAAAAATAAGGATGCTGATAGTGGAAACAGCTGATAAGTTAGGTGTTTTATATGTTCGCTACATCAAGACATTGGCAAAGGCCTTCTCACACCTCACTGGGTGCAAAAACTCTTTCAACAAAGGAAAAATGTCAGGGTTGAGCGAAGCAGGCAGGACCCAAATGCAGGTTTAACAGAAAATACCTTTATTTCAAGGCTACAAGTAACAGAGCAGAACTCTCTCCCCCGTGAACACAGTCAACACCAACAAGGATCTCACAAAGACTAACAGAAAAAGCAGAACCTAAATGCACACAGGACTAATCAAACAAACAAGACACAGGTGAGGAGGGAGGAGAAAACACAGGGGCACAAGGTGAACACAATCGGGTAATCAGGCAGGAGGGAACACAGAGACAGGAAGCAACAGACAAGACAGGGGTTGAACACTTTTCAAACTAACACAAACAACACGGAGGCGTGTGGTGCAGTGGGTTGTGTGTTGGTTTTCAGATCAGGTGGTCACAGGTTCAAACCCCACTGCAGTCAGCATGTCGTTGTGTACCTGGGCAAAACACTTGTCCACAGTATTGAGTATGTAAGTTGCTTTGGATAAAAGCGTCTAACAAGTGACATGTAATGTAATGTAAAACAGGAAACCAAAAATACAGATCTACACAGGACAAAAATAAAACACAGATAGATCGTGACAAAAAATACAAATCAAGCTCACTTGTTTGTGCAATGGAGGAATTTTTAGTATGACAATCAAACAGGTGTTTTAAAAAAAAAAACAGGCTTAGAAAAATAAAGCCTTGCAGAAGTCCAATAGTGAAAACGTTTTGCCTTCCTATTCTTTTTTGGGGGGTCATTGTTATCGTAGAATTATGAGCTTAGCGTAAACTCTGGGAAGAGAGAAACCTGACTAAATTCCATGAGTCTGCGCTGGTTGCCTGGCAACACCCAAGTGATGACTTGGATTTTGATAGGTTCGGGGTGAGGTGACGTGACTGACGTTCAGATAACACTGTGCTTGTATTTAACCTCTAAAATACCAGATAGGATGCTAAAATATGTCTTTTTTACAATGGAGTCCTGTCATACCTGGCAGCATAAAATATATGAAAAAACAAAAGTTGAGGATACAATTTTCTTAAATTTGGCCATGTTAGACGACATAATTTAGCCCTGATTAAACCTTAACTCTAACCCTAATTAAACGTAGTTGAAAATGAGCTTATAGTTTCATTTAGATTGGACACCAGAGAAAATATGTGGTACCTATAAACCATTAGTCCATAGGGCTGTTGAGAAATGTTTGATATAAGTGATATAAGTGATATAAACTGTATCTATCCTGAGGGATAGTGTGTTATTCAAACATGTATAATACAAGGCCAAAATCAGCTTAACATAAAATCATCATATCATAAAATGAAAACAGGTTATGTAAGGTAAAGGAAGGGGCAATAAATATACAGCAAACTTTATTGTACATAATGTACTGATTTCGGTGGTGTCATGTCCTAAGGTGCTCAGGGGCCCTACAGATCATTGAATGAGTCATCCAGCTTCACACTGTATGAATCCAGCTCCGTCTAGTGGTCACAGTGGCTCCTGCACTCATTACAGGGGAATCTGAGTCCACAGGCAGATTGAAGCGAAGTCAGATATTCTTTTTATCCTACTTTCAGAACCAACCGAGCGCCCAGCCACAGCCAATTAAAACTAATCCAAGAGTTTCGCAGTATATTGAAAAACTCCCATTCCACTGTCATGTTTTATCTATGACATGTGGACTGAGGACACAGAGTGTGCTTGGAGCATCTCTCTCTCTATCTCTCTCTCTCTCTCTCTCTCTCTCTCTCTCTCTCTCTCTCTCTCTCTCTCTCTCTCTCTCTCTCTCTCTCTATCTATCTCTCTCTCTCTCTCTCTCTCTCTCTCTCTCTCTCTCTCTCTCTCTCTCTCTCTCTCTCTCTCTCTCTCTCTCTCTCTCTCTTTGGATCTTTAAAACACAGAGTGGACGGGAGGTAATCCCCACCATGTGAGTGGGCGGTGCGGGTACCGGAGGCGTGTTTTTGTTTTGTTTTTTACTTATTTTTTCATTATTCAAATGCTGGTGTACCTATAAAAAGAGCGCCTGCGTGCGTCAGATAGTTTTTCTCCAATGGGTAAAGGTGACTAAAATACTTGTTGTCTCTTTCGCCGGGCCCAGTCGCATCCTATCGGCAGGGGGAAGGAGATGATGCACGACTCCGGAGGTGTCCAAATGGCGAGGGTGTTGAAGCATGCCACCCTATGCCTGATGCTGCTGCCCCGGTTCCTGGTGGCCGCCGTCATGCTGTGGCTGCTGGATTTCTTGTGTATAAGGAAAAAAGTGCTGCTGAAAATGGGAGCGAAGCAGGACAGCCCGGACGACCCGCCGGTGTGCGTGTCTGACTCCAACAGGATGTTCACCTTGGAGTCGCTCAGAGCCGTTTGGTACGGACAGAAATTGGACCTCCTGAAATCCGCTCACTTAGGGCGCGCGGCACCTAACACCGAGGTGCTGATGGTCCAGGAGCGGCGGCAGGTCCGGATCCTGGACTGCATGAAAGGGAAGAGACCGCTCATCCTTAACTTTGGCAGCTGCTCCTGACCGCCATTCATGATGCGTCTGTCGGCGTTTCAGCGCGTCGTGAGCCAGTACGCGGACATTGCGGACTTTTTAGTTGTATATATCGAGGAGGCGCATCCGTCGGACGGCTGGGTGAGCTCTGACGCGCCGTACCAGATCCCGAAGCACCGCTGCTTGGAAGACAGGCTGAGAGCCGCTCAGCTGATGCTCGCCGAGGTGCCGGGGAGCAACGTGGTGGTCGATAATATGGACAACGAGTCCAACGCCGCGTACGGAGCCTACTTTGAGAGACTTTACATCGTGATGGATGAGATGGTGGTGTACCAGGGGGGCAGGGGGCCGGAGGGATACCGGATTTCAGAGCTCAGAAACTGGCTGGAGCAATACAGGAACGATCGGATGAATTCCCACACAGCAGTGCTCCATGTGTAGTTGGAAGATGCTGAACTGCTCCTCTGCTCATACTGCTTAAGTGTCCAACTCACAGTGCAAAAATATTCAGATGCTGCTATCAAATGTTCACACATGGCACATTATGTTGTTGGTTTTTTGAATAAAGATATTCAGGACTCTTTGACAAATAGCCTAAAGTCATGTTCAAGCCTAGGCTGTTTTATCGTGCTTGTATTGACCTTAATTGATTGCGCATAGCGATTGTTTTTATTATTTTTTGAATGGAAAAGTCTTGAATCAGTTGAACCCGGATTCATTTAGTGGTCACTCTATTTTTCTACGGTGTGTGTGCGTGCGTGCGTCTCTGTGTGTGTGTGTGTGTGTGTGTGTGTGTGTGTGTGTGTGTGTGTGTGTGTGTGTGTGTGTGTGTGTGTGTGTGTGTGTGTGTGTGTGTGTGTGTGTGTGTGTGTGTGTGTGTGTGTGTGTGTGTGTGTGTGTGTGTGTGTTCAGGCTAAGGTCTCACTCTGGTGTTTCTGTGAAGTTCGGTTTTTAAAAGGCGAAGCCAGAAAACTGACACTGATGTTTTTGACACCGGGAGCGGGATCACGTGGGATGCCTTCCTCGATGATCGATTGCCAAATTATGTAATGTTGAAACGATGTAACTGAACAAATGTTTTTAATAAATATCAGATCACACATGGATGGTTAACTGTTGATTTGTGCAACACCTTAAAGGTATTTTTTTATAATTTAATGCACATGATAAATGGGATGATGTTTTTGTTTAAACTCTAACCCTTTGTTTCACTCTCAGTTTTATGTCGTCTGATGACGTCAGACCTGCTCGTTTCATGACTGTTTACAGACAGAACTTATGTTCATAATGATTGTGAATGTTTACACTTGCCTCCTTTGACTCCTGCCCTTATAATGACTTATAAGCATGCCATAGATACGTGTACTGTGACTCCTGCCCTTATAATGACTTATAAGCATGCCATATATAGGCCTACGTGTACTGTGTCCCCTCTTTCACCAAAAAAGAAGAACAGTTAAAAGGTTAAAATCATTATCAAAATCAATTGAACAATGAGAGTAACAAATGTGAGTTCTGTTTCATTATGTGTAACACAATAAATCAGAAACAACAATCAGACCAATGGTCAGATAAAAATCATCATGCCCGGATGAAATGACACTCACAAACAGTAGATCAAAGTAAACATGCTTATGAGAAAACGCCCCATTCATCAAATGTTTCTTTCATAAGGAGCCGTGCCACTATCCATCCCTGGATCTGAATGAAACAAATGGCGCATTTCCACCATGGCGCGGAGCGCGGTTTAAGCGTGCCGTGTCGTGCCGTGCCCGTTTTTGGTTGCGCTTCCACTAGGCCTAGTTACGGCCCGGCCCGGCCCGGGGCCACTTTTTCACCTCTTTTCTGGCCCGACAAAATTGTGGTTCTATCGGGGCCAACAAACAGGGCTGAGTCGGGCTGAGTATGCTAAACTAGAGAGAGGATCGCTGGCAAGGGGGCTACAACTACAACAAGATGGACATATTTGACCGTGATTTAATTGTAATACACGTTTCAAAATGATGCCGAAGTAACAACATACTGATACCGGTTAGTAAAAACCATGAATTAATGCTTTGGCAAGTTTGCAGACAGACGGCAGGCGAAAAACCTTTTAAAATGAGTGTTTTCTAGATGGAGATTGGCTAAGCTAACGCAGTATATGCTCCGACCGTCCACACTCACAACAACGGCCTATACAGACATAAATAAAGCAGCGACTGTATTCACCATGACACAGACAGTCTGTGGTGTGTACTTGTTTAACTTTTGTCGAGTTTCTGAACATATATAAGGAGCTGTGAGCTCTGAGTGCTAACAGCTAACGGCTGTGTTGTTTTACTGGGGTTCTCATTGAAGATGACGTCACGGCTCCGCCTACACTGCGTTACTATAGTAACTACCCCAGTTCCTAAACTGTAATGGAAGCACAGCATGAAGTGAGCCGGCCCTGTTAAGGCCCAACGCGGCCAAGCAGTACCGAGCGTGGCCGAGGCCGACCGTGTGGTGGAAATGCGCCAAAAGAGACTTGAGCTGGTTAGGGGGGGGGGGGGTGATGCATCTGTATGCACACAAGCAGGAATTCACACACTGCCACATGCATTTAGGATTTGAGAGCAATGAGATTATCGTGAACCCTCTATTGATGTGGGAAAATGACCCTACTTCTCATTTGATTTGTCACCGAAATAAACCTTTTCCTGATGACTTTATGGTCTCAATCACTAGTTTAAGTCTTCTTAAATAAAACATGCAGTTTATTGTGTGAAAAGTGGTCCGATTAAAGGTAAAACAGAGGTTAAAGGTAGGCTTTGGGCCCTGGCAAAATTGTGAGATTACTTTGGTGTGTTGTGGCCAGCTCTCTGTGACTGGATCCCAATATGGACAACACATTGCTGCACTCCGCTTTCCCTTCAATTAACTCACAGGAGTGATTGTTTTTAATACATCTTGTAAGCCATTGTGTTGCTGCTTTTCCTCATTAATAAGTAAGGCTTTTATCTCACCCACCCGTAACCCATCTGCTATTGTTCAGAAACGTTAATTTTGATGGCTTACCCCGTGAATTAAACATGTGCCTGCAGTTAGAACCACAACCATACATAACTAGTAAGTCACACTTTTTCACAAATACAGGGTTTTGGCTTTATGTGATTCCATTGGCTGCTACTTTGTGATATTTGTTCAAATGTGCCCTAGTGTTGCACAGAATATATATCACCCCATGAATAGTTTTGGTATGATTTAAGTATCCTATGCATTCAGCATATGAAATAAACATAAAGCAGCATTGACGTCATTAAAGGGGCACACCACCGTTTCAACACCCCAACTCCAATCATCTTTCAGCATCTCTGTTGTCAAGACAGATGTTTTCTGCAAAGAATCCGAGGTTTGTGTTGCTTCACAGAGGTAGCCTTCTCTTTTCCTCCTGACTTTCTGTGTTATCAGCCAGTCTCAGGTCACCACTGTCATTTTAAAAAGCTCTTTGGTCAGACGTCACTGATTGACTCTTATCACCAAAAAAGTGTGTGTGGGGGGGGGGTTTAAACAAAGGCAGACCTTTTTTTTCTTCCCCTTTAGAAAACAGTTTCAAGATGGTGAAGAGGGGGCATGTCAGTTCTCCTGCTCTCAGTTCACCCCTCGCAGCACGCGGCATGAATGCATAAGGACACACACAGGCAGCTATACAGTACATGCATGTGGTGAGATAATGAGACACAACTGAGGCATGAAGGGACCTGAATACATAATCTATGCAGCACAGACGTGGGCTACATCCAGAGATGCTGGGTGGAGATTGAAGTTGGGGGTGTTGAAACTGCATCCTACTTGATCAATGGCTTCAACAAACGTCATTATTATAATTGCATAGGCAATTGAGCACAAAAGTAATTAAAATATAACTATCTTTCAGAGACACTCCAAAAGAAGATTTCCAATTAGGAGTGGGGCTGATAAAAAGATGAGTTCAAGTTGACAAATCCTGAGAAAGATCTCTTTGAGGAGGCACAGGTAGACAGCATCATCATCTTGTACGTAGATACAGGTTTCAAATACATTCTCTGATTTTGTGGACAGTTGTGACCTTTTCTAATGTAGCTTGTGCTTCAGAACCAGGATGCTTTAAGCTCATAATCTGCTTGTATTACAATACTTGGCATTAGGGCCTGCTACTGCCTCCTTTTTGAGAAGAAAAGATTAGGAAGATTTGTGAAACCAACAAGATTGTTTGTTTCTGAACTATTGTTGCAAGAACTCTATTTTATCTTTCAAAACAAGTAAAGATTGTTGCACAAGGACCCCGGGGATAACACTTGATTTGAGAACATTCTTTGAAACCTGGATGTGTAAAGTAAACCAATCCAAATGTTCTAACTGAAGGGTTATACAATGTTTCTTTTTTTATAGAAATGCTTGGCAACCTCCAAGTTTGAAATGTAAAGCTATTGTGGAAGTGCCTTAAACGTGCATTTTCTTAGGTAGCATGGGGCAACTCCTCTGGTTGCAAGAAGAAGTATGATTGTATAGAAGTTTATGAAAAAAATTACCCTTTATTTCACTTGATTTATTACCTCAGATAACATCTTTCTAGTTTAGGGTCTCAATTGCTAGTTTATGTATTCTGCAATACAGCATGTAGTTCATTTGATAAATTATGACCCCATATCGAGTTAAATATATACGTTAAAACAGAGTGGGCTATACGGCATAGCTTGTGATTGATATGTCATAACCATTTCTTATTTTGTGTGTTGGGTATAAGTCTTATTATTATAACCTTTTCAGAGTGTGTTTTCAGTTCATGAATGTCAATTGTAACACTTTGGCCCACTCAAAATGTTTTTTTCAGTGTTCTGTTGTACCCTCAGGTGTCATAAAAAGGCTTGAAGACTGAAGTCCACAAACCAATGCGTGACCTCTACGTGACTACATCCACTTCTTATATACTGCACAATATATGGTCTCATGGCTACTAGGCAATAACAAAAATATCTATAGTAACAGCTTCAGTACATGTAATCTGGATTGCATCAGAAACAATTACACAAATGGTTCGAAAACTGATGACACACTTCAGGCAACAAGGGGAGGTCGTTTCCATAAGCGTTTGTCTAAGAGTGTGTGTGTATTTGCGTTCAAACGTGCGTGTGTGTGCGTGTGTGTGCGTGTGTGTGTGTGTGTGTGTGTGTGTGTGTGTGTGTGTGTGTGTGTGTGTGTGTGTGTGTGTGTGTGTGTGTGTGTGTGTGTGTGTGTGTGTGTGTGTGTGTTTGGCATGCATGTGTTTTAACTTTAGATAATTTAAGAAAATGTCCCCGTTACATAATTCTATTTCATGAGGAAGAAATTGCATTAGCTATACATCTGATAAAGTAGGCGCAAATACATTATTTATTAAATTGTTAAATAACTCAATATGATAATGTGAATCAGCTTTTAGAAATCATGTTTTCCTTTAAAGGGCGAAAACGTTTTTTTTCTACTCAAGCAAAATGTAAACATCTTATTAGAAGTGGTTAAAGGTCTAAAGGTGGAACGTATGTGACGTAACTCAGTGCAAAGTCTCATTTTGTAGCAATACCATTACAGATAAAGAGCAAAACAACAGATATCTTGTCATTCCATACAGCACTTTAAAGGAACATATTTCGACATTTTTATTAGATAAAGCCAGTTCTGCCACTTCATTTCTACATTTATCTCCCAGACAAACTGGCACCAGGCGGAAGACGCAAGATCTCCCCTATAATTGTGTTATATAAATGTGATTTCATTTGAATCAAATGATTTCTTGGACGTCTTGGCAAGCTAACAAAC